GATGTGGGATCTTAGAAACGCTATCAGCCCCTCTGGGCCCCAGCTCTGCCAGGCGTGAAGATAGTTAAATGAGTTACCACATCTGAAGCATTTGGTGGGGGCTTAGCACTCAGGCTGACACCAAGCATGTACCACCTTTCTAACCTGAAAATGTATTATATTTGATATAAATTTTATGTACTTACCTTCATTTCTATAACCACTCCAAAGTCCAGGATAGGAAACAGTCCTGTCACTCCAGAGTCCCTGGGCCCCTTCTGGGTGTCTCCCCCATATCACCCTGCCCTTAGCAACCATTGGTCTGCTTTCTACAGGATTAGCCTTTCCTAATTTTGTGTATTTTTCAGGAGGGAGGAGAGAGGGGCAAGGTCTCATGTAGCCCAGGCTGGCCTTGAGCTCAATTTGTAGCTGAGGGTGCCCTTGAACTCCTGATCCTCCCACTTCCATCTCCCAGTTGCTGGGAATCATAGGCATCTCCCAACGCATCCAGCTAGACCTTCATCTACGTGGACTAAAACATGCGACTGCCTTAGTTTGAGTGCAATCAACGTACTCAGTGATCTAGAACATAGTTGGGTAGATGTCTAGGTTTTTTTTTTTTTTTTTTTTTTTTTTTTTTTGTTTTTTAAGACAAGGTCTCTAACCCAGGCTGCTTCAGACTCTATATAGCCAAGGATGACCTTGAACTTCTGATTTTCCGGTCTCCAGCTCCCAATTGCTAGTACTACAGGTGCGTGCCATCACGCCCAGATGACTAAGTTCAGAAGGATTGAAAGTTGTTCAAGAGTAGCCTGGACAACCCACTTTCAAAACAAACAAACAAACAAACAAACAAACAAAAATAAAAAGCAGAGCTGGGAATGTAGCTCAGTGGTAGAGCACTTGCCTAATATGGTTAAGGTTCAAGCCCCAGATACATAAAAGAGAGAGAGAAAGTTAAGGCAGAGTATTTGCCTAGCATGCACGACCTCCTAAGTTTGATTCTCAGCACCACGTGCACTGACCATGCCCTCTCCTAGACTCATAAGTTACGGGGGTGGAACCCCTGCCCAGGGACCACTGTCGCTCAGGTGGACAGCAACACCTCGTGCGGGTTGCCAACGTCTACTTTGTGGTGGCTAATTTCAAGCTTGGCCTCAGTTCTCGTGAGGGCTGATCCACTTCTGGTCTGCTCCTACTTCTGGAGGTGTCAACTTCTGGTCCTATCGAGGTGTCAACCGATGCCCCCTCCCTTGTCATTCCCTGAGGCTGCCGTAAGCAGCCGGTAAGCAGCCGGCAATGAACCGGCCCCTCAGGAGACACCGGCCCCACAGAGAAGCTCAGGCTCACCTCCCTGGATCTCCCTTTCCTCTGGGACCTTGCTTGGTATTGCAATCCCTTGAATTCTGTGATTCTTCGGGGCCCTCTTGTCATCCCCACCCACCCCCCATCCCAGCTCTCCCAGCTTCTGTTGGCAGTTTAATGTGACACTCACAGTCTGTCACAGCTGGAAGAGAAAGCCGCCGCTGCTGCTGCCACCCCCTATTGTTATGCTCTGTCAGAATTATAGAGTCAAATGAGCACTCAGAACAGTTTGGTTCCTGGCACGTGGTGAAAAGCCCCAATAAGTGTGAGTTATTGTTCTTCTCCCAATAGAATTCCAGGGAGCGACTGAGCCGAGTTTTCACAGTCAGCTCCTCCTAACTCTCCCATACATTCTCCGGGTAAGGAGGTCTCTACTCTTGCTCTGTACCATCACAGGAGGCTGTAATTGGACCCTGGGGGATCCCGGGGATGGTTTCCTGTCTTTGGTCTGTGCGTGCAAAGCCTCAACCTCAGGGCTCAGCTGGCTCTAGGTTCAGGAGACAACCCAGGGGCTTGGCCTTCTCAGAGGCACCTTCCCCCCAACTCTCCTCTTGCAGGACCCAGACCCACAAGTCCACCTGTGTAAGTTACAGGAACTTCAGAATCCAGATGTTCTCATGCCTGTCCTCTGGAGCACAGTACACGTGTACACACACACACACACACACACACACACTTGCAGGTGTACCAGCAAGCACACCAGCATCTGGAAAGCACGCACAGCCCGTGGAAGACCAGGTAGCTGAGACAGCTGTGAGAACTGCCCTGCCTTGGTCTCCTACCCTGGGGAACAAGAGCACGGGGAGGCAGAGCAAAGGATCAGACCCAAAGGTCCAGCCAGGCCACCGGCACTGAAGACTTGGTGACCCACTATCTTTTCTGCCACTGAGGACTCAGGGTTGAGTCCCTGAGACGAGGCCATGAACTCTGTTGGGCTGGGGTGAGGTGGGGGACAGACGTGAGGTGTACAGAGATTCATGACTCTTGGCTGCCACCACCCACCAGTGACTTTTCGAAAGTAGAAGCATCGGTAGGAGTGTGGGCAGGGAAAGGCTTTAAAATTGCGCTCAGCCACCAAACCCAGAAGGGGCTCTTAGCCTTCATCGGATTTTAGATAAGCTGGCTTGGAAGAAATCTAATCCCTTAATTTTTTTTTTTTTTCTGATTTAAAAGTAGTACATGCTCATTGTAAAGAATAGATAGATAGATAGATAGATAGATAGATAGATAGATAGATAGATAGATAAGCATGGGAAACAGGAGAAAAAAGGGAATGAAGAGGAAAATGAAAAGCACCTGTGCTACCACCTCAGGAGCTAATCACTGTTGACATTTTGGCGGAGTACAGACGCTGCACGCGCCGATTGCTTTTCTTCCTTCTCATTGGAATGGCAATGAGCATTTTCTCAAGTCATTATTCTTTGTGAACCTGTTCAAAGGCCTTTTCCACTGGATTGCACACCCAGCATTTACTGAACTTGTTTCCAGTTCTTGGACACTCAAGTGACTTCTTGTTTTTTCCACTGTGGAAAAAAAAAAAAAAAAAAAAAAAAAAAAAAAACAAACACAGCTTTGTGCACGAAGGGTTGCTAGCCTTACTTGGAGGGCTGGGGGAAACCCTCAGAGCACAAGGAGGAAGGGGATCCAGAAAAGGCTGAATACCCTGGACTGTGAGGGGGAGCTGGGGTGGGTAGGAACTCAGTTGGGTCCCGACATGACAGGAAGCGGGAGTGAGCTGGGATCACTTGCCTCTGCCTGCTTTAGGCTTGAGAATCCCCCTCTGGTTTCCAGGCATCTCTCTATCCTTTTGGGGGTGGGGAGGAGAGGGCATGAAAGGAAAGGACAGAGACTTGCCAAGGCCTCTAGAGGTTAGGGCAGGAGTGAGTTTGATGTGTGTAGCTGCTCTAAATGCCCCGGGGCTGCCCACTCCTCCTCAAGGCTCCTGCACACCTCAGCCACTAAGAGAGTGACAGAGCGCTGCTGCAGCTGTGAGGCCCTGGTCCCAAGAGCTAGACATTGAGACCGTCTAGAGGAGAGACTGGGGGTCCTCTGGGAGCTATGGCCCAGGTTCCCAGAGAAATAGGTAGGGATGAGGCAGGGACTGATGTGACATGGTGGAACTGGGAAGCAGGGCTAAAGTCACTCAGGGACACTGAAAGGCCAGAAAAGGCTGACGGGCCAGGAACGGGCACCCAATGTACCTGACACCCAACCCATGAGCCCTGGGCTCATGTGGTCTTCAACTCCACACTGGTGGATCATATCTGCTTGGAGACAGGAGGATACCATGGGGTTCAGAGGCTTTTCTTGGGGGGTCAGAGAGAGTGGGCCTGCTAGGAATCTGCCCAGAGCTGCCCAAGTGTAATTTAGGCACTCCAGCCAGGAAGGAGCACCACTCCCATCATAGCAGTCCCACGGGCTTTTTAGACTCTCGGGGACGAAAGGTGAGAGGCTGCAGTGGCAACCTGACCTGTATCTCAGCCCACGCCGTAGGCCCCATCACTGCACTGGGAAGCTTCGGTGACAGCCACATGGAACCCACAGCAGGGTGATGACTAAGCAGGGCCCCCAGACACACGGCAGCCGTGCACCCCAGCACCACCTGTGCCCTCTCCGCCTTGGGAGTCGGACTGTTGGGCCACAGTTGCTCTTTATGATTCTCTACTAGACGTTTCTCTAGCTCCAGGTCCAGCGCAGAACCCTCAGGGACTCAGCACCACGGCAGCCTCTCCTCATTCCTCTGCCCTCATGTGGGTATCAACCCATGCCCTCCCCAATGGTGAGTCATCTAGGGGAGCCCAACACCTTTTGGACATGCCCACGTGTGCCTTGCTCCCATCTTGATGCCCCCATCCTCTATCCACCACCCAGGTATTCTCCCTGGGGCCATTCTGTCTTCATTTTACTCCAGAACCGTCTTTCTAGAAATCCATCTGTGTCCTTCGGGGGCAGGAGCAGAAATGACTCCTTCCCAGGCGTTGACTGTGAAGACTTGCTAGGGGCTGGAAACAGGGATAAGGATCAGATAAACTCAGCCCTGGGAACAGAAATCTCTCCCTACGCTTTCCCTTCTGTCATTAGGGGGATGGCAGCTGGGAGGTCAGAAATGGCCCCAGTGGGCAAAGAGGAGTTCTGAAGCCCAGAAATAAGGATTGCGGCCTCTTGGGCTGAAGAGATGGCGCAGTGGTTAAGAGCATTCGTTGCTCTTCCAGAGGACCCGAGTTAGTTCCCAGCATCCACATGGTGGCATACAGTTATCCATAACTCCGGTTCCAGGGGTTCTGACATGCTCTTTTGATCTCTGTGGGCAGCAAGCATGTGTGTTGGACTTTACATGCATATATGTATCATACATACCTCAGCCATTTCTTCGGATCCTCAAGGTAGCCTCATGGGACAGGCAAGGATTATCATCTATCTGCTCTGTTTGTTTGTTTGTTTGTTTGTCAAGACAGGGTTTCCCTGTGTAGCCTTGGCTGTCCTAGAACTCACTCTGTAGACCAGGCTGGCCTCATGCTCAAGAGATCCACCTGCCTCTGCCTCCCGAGTGTTGGGATTAAAGGTGTGCGCCCGCCGCCGCCGCCGCCGCCGCCGCCGCCGCCGCCGCCGCCGCCGCCGCCGCCGCCGCCACCACCACCCAGTATCATCTAGGTGATGAAACTCGGGCACTTCAAAGCCAAGGAAGAATCCAAATCTGCAGACCAAAATCCACGGCAAGTTACTCCTGAACCATCCCGAAACTATGGAAGTCCCTACAGCTGCTTGAACACCCTCTTCATATCTATTCCTCCCTGCTGGAGTGTGTGGATGTGTTGGAGACAACAGATCCATGGCTTTTCTCCTCCCTTCAGCCAACCTTCCAGATAGACAGACAGTTGGAGGGAAGCAGCCCTCCAGTTCATCCGGGAAGGTGTGTGTACTTCCAGGAATGGCTCCCAGTGTCCCTGACTCCCAACCCGTGAACCCTGTGCTCATGTCCACTGATGCAGGCCTCAGCACCCAGGAAGACTTAGGTCCTGCAGGAACGTCCCAAGCTCAGTTTACCTCAGAGGACAGATTAGCCTAAAGTACACTTCTTAAAACTTCATTTTGGTGGAGGGTAGGTAGGGAAAGCAAAAACTTTCCTCCCCTGGCAAAAGCTGTAGCCATAAAAGTAGCCCTTGTGCCAAGCTAAGCACATTCCTGCCTGGCTTGAGAATAAACCCTCCTTCACCCTCCAGACCCATCCACCACCAAGACCTGTAACATCACCTGTTCTCTTTTCTCCAGCACCACCATTAGGTTCCCAGTATCTCTGTAGTCCAGGCCAACCTTGAACCCTGTGGGCCTTTTGCCTCAACCTCCAGTCTCAAAATAAATAAATGGAGCCGGGTGGAGGTGGATGACACACTTTTAATCTCAGCACTCAGGGAGGCAGAGGCAGGGTGATTTCTGTGAGTGTGAGGCCAGCCTGGTCTACAGAGCAAGTTCTAGGATAACCAGGGCTACACAGAGAAACACTCTCTAAATAAATAAATGGACGGGGGCTGAATAGATGGCTTGCTACTCTTACAGAGGACCAGGGTTCAGTTTCCAGATGTTCATGGCCATCCGTAACTACAGCCTCCTAAAGGGCTTACATGTTTGAGCACACCTATACATACACATAAATAAAAAAACAATAAATAATAATCTTAAAAAATAAGTATTTATAGCTGGGTGTCGTGACTCACGCCTTGAGTCCCAGTGCTTGGGAAGCAGAGACAGGTGGATATCTGAGTTCGAGGCCAGCCTGTTCTACCAAGCCAATTCCAGGACAGCCAGGGCTACCCAGAGAAACCTTGTCTCGAAAAAAAACAAATAAATAAATAAATCTTTAATTTTTAATATGAAAAAAGCACCTTAATGCTTTCACAGTTGGACTAGACTCTCGCCCAGTGCGCTCAGCATAGAGAACACTTCAGGAGCCAAATCCCGCCCTTCGTTTCTGCTGTGTCTGCAGCCCCGTGGACCTCAGCAGGGCCACATTTGGCCCTCCATCCTCCTCCTGCACCTTGAGCGACATCAGCCCTCTCCCAGACTCTCCTCCCTGCCACCCTTCGTCCAGCCACAGGACCTTCGCAGGCGCTCCTCTCTCTGCGTGAAATAAGCTTTCTGGGGCTGGGACAGAAATGCTTAATCGATTTAAGAAGAATAAAGGCTTGTTTTGACTGTTTCAGAGGTTTCCGCCTAAGATCTATAGGCCCTGTCGCTTTGTGCCTTTGGTGAGGCAGCCAGGATTGCACGGAGATTATAGTGGAGGGAGCTGTTGTGTGTGTCTCCCCCACCTCCTTTTTGTTTGTTTGTTTGTTTTTCAAAAACAGGGTTTCTCTGTGTAGCCTTTGCTGCTCTGGAACTCATTCTGTAGGCCAGACTAGCCTCGAACTCACAGCTTTCCGAGTTCTGAGTGCCGCCACCACCCGGTTTATAATTGAGCATAATAAACAGAAGTTTACCCATTACCCCTTACTGGAGTCAGAAAGTTAAAAAAACAAACAAAACCCCAGAGTGGGCAGGAAAGACAGCCTCCCAGCAAATCCCCTTCAGGGCCACACCCCATGACCTAACACCTCTGCTAGGCTCCACCTCCCAAAGGTTTCCACAATCTTTCCACACACCATGGACTAAGCCTTCAACACACAGGCCTTTGGGTGGCTTGTCCTGAAGACAAGCAGGCACACCTCTCTTCCCCCTGAATGCTGCCTCTTCCACTGCTGTATTTTCAGCACCGGGTACTGTGCCTGGCAGATAGCTAGATAACATGGGCCAAGTCAAGTAATGATGGAACCAGCCTTCTGAAGGGAGTACCGCTACCTTCCCCACTTCACAAAGAAGCTGAGGCTCTGAGAAATAGCTTGCTCACGGTCCCACAGGTGACAAACAGCAAATCAGGGCTTAGGGCCATGTTGGAGTACGGAATTCACATGCTCAAACATTCCAGGTCACGTCCAGTGGCCCGGCCTCTGTGACTACCTGTCTTGCTCTCCCAGCAGGCTCCGTGAGGACTGCGTGGCGGGCCAAGACTCCTCTCCCTTGCAACTGCTGGCAGAACCATGGAGAGCCTCAGTGAACTACAGAACCCGTTGCTGCCAAGGAGCCCCGCCCACCTCCACAGTCCCTATGCCTACTCGGAGGCCCCGTCCAGCTGGTCCTGCCAGGAGAAGCTTTATTCCTACCTCCTTGGAGGTGCCGCTCCTGCCCAGGCTCACCAGCTCCTAGACCCGGGGTCCCTGCAGCTGGCCGTAGAGGCTTGGTATCGGCCCAGCTGTCTCCTGGGGAGGGACAAGGTGAAGGAACCCAAAGCAGGCAGCTGCGAGACCAGCTTCACAGAAGCCAGGGAACCCTCAGCCGGGCCCTCGGAGCAGGGCTCAGAGCCTGGTCAAGCTGAGGAGGATGTCACCATCCACACTGTGTCCTATGGGGTTCAAGAAGAGCTGCAGGGCCAGGAGGACAGCCAGGAGGAGGAGGTAAGTAGCTTTTTTTAAAAAAAAATGTAGGTTCTAAGCTGGGCTTGATGGAGCATGCCTATAATCCCAGCACTCAGGAGGCAGAAGCAGGAAGATGGAAGATTTGATGTCAGCTTGGTCTATAGCCTGCACTGCATAGTAAGACTTCTCAAAAAAGAAAGCACACTTGTATTCACAGCACTTGGGAGCTGGATACAGATCAGGAGCTCAAGGTCAGCCTTGGCTATCTGGTAAGTTAAAGGCTAGCATGATATCCTATTGAAGGAGGAGGAGAGGAAGAGGGGGAAGAGAGGAGGAAAAGCACTAGCTTGGGTTAACTATTTATCAACTCAAGTGATAAACCATTGTAAGTAGCAACTATTAATCACTTGAAAATAATGTGATTGTGTTGGTAGCTGATCATGCTTCTTCTCTGCCTCTCTCCCACAAAGTACGGGGCTTTCTAACCTGATTTTCCAGGATATTGCTCTGTGTAATTTAATATCTTCTATAAGGTGATTTGTAAAGTGACAGGGTCTTTCATTGTGAGCCCTTCCATCATTTGTTAACTTGATCTCCCGGTCTTCGGGCACTGAGGAAGCCTCTCATCTTCCAGTCTGTCTGCTGTGATAAACATCTCTGCACTCAGAGACTTGTCTTCTTCCATGGTGAGAGGTTCCTAAAAGTAGCACTAAAAGGTCACTGAAAAGGCTTTTTGGTAGAGTGGCATAGAGTGACAAAGCCAGCCTCCCCTGTCAACAGCAGGGAAGGTTTGCTCTGTACCTTCCCGTAGGGTGTTACCTGTTTTCTTAAGTTTGGTTTTTGTTTTGTCAAGTTTGTTTATGTCTCTGTTTGTTTACTGTATGTACAGTCACAGCACCTGTGAGGGAGTCAGATGACAGCTTGCAGGAGTCAGTTATCTCCTTCCACCGTGCAGGGACTGGTGGCCGGCTCCTTTACTTACCCACCTGTGTGTTTTTAACTCTTGTCAGGCTAGCAGGGTTTATAAGACCCTAGGTTTTTGCCACCAAACTCCACTCTCTTGCAGAGCGATACAGCCTCGACAGAGAGTGAGAGTGAAGACACCTTCCTCACCCTGCCTCCCAGGGACCACTTGGGGCTCACGCTCTTCTCCATGCTCTGCTGCTTCTGGCCTCTGGGCATTGCTGCCTTCTACTTCTCCCAGGGGGTAAGTGTCCTGAGGGCCCAGAGATGCCTCTCTCTACCGGAGGACTTTACACTCACCTGCAGGATGGGGTCAAGGGCCTGGTGGACTGGAGCTGTTGCCTTATATCAGCCTTTTGTCTCCCTAGACCAGCAAGGCCATCTCCAAAGGGGACTTCCGCCTGGCCGGCACCACCTCCCGCCGGGCGCTCTTCCTAGCCACACTCTCCATCGCTGTGGGGGCCGGTCTCTATGTGGCTGTGGTGGTGGCTCTGGCTGCTTACATGTCCCAGAATGGCCATGGCTAGTGGTCAGTAGGAGGACCTTCATCCTGCCTCTCCTGGCTTACCAGAGAAAGGTGTAAGGCTTGGAACTGTGTGCTCTATGGAGAGCCTTGTCCCTGAAGAGAATCTGTCACATAGCTTGTTGGAGAGGGGGGGTTCCATTCTGCAGCTCACACAGTGCAATCCTGTCCTCTTGTCCACTGTTCCCAGTCTCAGAGCGGGCCAGGCGTGGATGGGAAGCAGGAGCAGGGTTGACTAATAGGCCAAGCCCAACCCCTCTGCCCATTCCCTACAGGGCCTCTGCCCCACAGGCAGCTCAACCTCCATTTGCCATCTTCCCCACAGAGAAAGAGCAGGAGGTTCCAGGAAGGAAAAGGAATGCCCAAGGGACAAAGGACCCAGCCAATCCTTCCACTCCGAGGGGGTTCTCACCTGCGTACAACTTGAGCACCTGCCCCCCACATGATGCTCAAGACCCTCCAATCAGGAGAGAAATACATGGACCCCAGCCATCCCTTGTTCTTCCTGACTCTGGGTACTACATATCTCCCAGGTGGAGATGGGGCTGGTGAGCTCTGTGCTGAGGGCAGGTTGCTGGGGCTTTTCTGTACCAGACAAAAGGCAGATGCAGAAGCAGATGGGGTGGGGGCCTGGAATGCTGCAGGACCACATGACCTGCCAACTCGGACCCTGTTCTTCATCCCACCATCCTCTCTGGGCTCCACTAGAAGGACCCTGAGATGGCACCCCTACCAGAGGAGCTTGAGAATGGGTACTGTTACTCCCCAGCTAGTGAGTGCGGGGTCCTAGATCCAGGCTTATGGGAAAAGGGTGAGAAGGGACGCTGGGGACTGGGAAGTGTAGGCCGAGGATGGACATGGACACATGTCTAAGGGATTTGCTTCTCTGTAACTCTCCGTGCTGGTGGACAGGGTTTGCAGGAGCCTCCCATGGAGGTGCCCGGGCTGCTGAGATTTCACCTGGAATATCCAGTTGGGAGTAATTTTGCAGCCATTTCTAAACCCTCCCGCAGGAAGGCCAAGCCTTCCCACATGTCACAATACATTCCCATCTCTGAATGATGGGGTAGTGTTGGCAATGGCTTCAAGCACCTTCACTGATAACCATCACTCAGGACTGCTTTCAAACCCCTCCATCCCCATGCACTATGGAATGTCAGGGTCTCACAGACATGAAGGACAAAGGACACAGGACAGTGGGAAGGTAGGCCCACCGGGACTCAAGCTACGGTACTATTGTGCACGATTTGGGGAACCTGTCCGTTCCCGCACCCCATCAAGTTCCAAATGGGGTTATGGTTCCACCACTATCCGCCTCTCACACCTCCTCATCTGCCTCACTTCAGGGGTTACCCGCCCTCCACTCCCTGCACTGGCAGTTTTAATGCCCTCTTACTGTCTTTATTTACCCTGGTAATAAACTTTTCTGTAACACCTGGTGCCCCCTGGGGCCTCGTGCGGTCCTGTGCCTGTCTCCCACGTGTCTCCAGCGCTGACCTCCGTTATCCCATGTCTGTTGTTCTGGATCTCCACATGGCCTTCGAGAAAAAGAGGCTAGAGGCCAGTGCTGCTCCTGGATGCTCGGCCTGGGGTGGCTGGGATGGAGGTTGATGGATTGCGTTTGACTTAAGCAAGGCAAGGTAAGATAAGGCGCAAGCCTGCAGAAAAAGCTCTTCTAAGCCTTGGAGGTTAAGAAGGGAGCAATAGATGAAAACCAGTGTGACTGCCTTCTACACAACTGCCCAGACACAGGGCTCGGCACGCCCATGGTCCCGATCCCCTGCTGTCCATTTTTGGCTCCCCTACATCTTCTGTTCGCAGAGCTGCTCCTGGGAAGTGCGGAGAGGAAGTGCTCGGGTTCCTGCCTCAGCACTAAATCCCCAATATCCTCTCTATCCTGGACCCCTAGCAGAAGAGCTGGCCTGGCCTCAGACTCACTCACTGTCTCTAGAAGGCTCTGGGGAGGTGTGTTATACATAACCCACGCCCCATGGACATCCATATATAAGACACAGCTCTGTATACAGCCACTTGTACTGCATGAGCCAGAGATCTGAGAAGAGAAATTAGCATACGGGATGTGTTTTCGGAAGGGAGGTGGCAGGTCTTGGAATAAGGAAAGGCCAGACTTCGATGTAGTCCAGAATGACAGCCTGACCCACCCAGGGTAGAACCAGGATGCTCTTCAGGGTTGACACAAGACAGGGCAACAAGCCAGGCCTTGCTATGATCTCATCTATCAGTCACTGGTTGTGGGCCCCCCAGAAAGGAGTGTGACCTTGAATAAGCCAGCTTTCTTCAGCTGAGGCCAGCCATAGGGAACTGTCTAAAGGTCCCTGGGGTCCACATCACCATATCCACCACCCTAAGCAGATGTGCTAGCATCTGCCCAGACCCCTCTCCCCGCTCGGCATACTGGGATTTGATGACACATGGCCAGAGGCAGGTCAAACTGAAAGTACTGGAGAGGTCATTCAGCCTTCTCTCAGTGCCTGGTGGGCATGAGTGGGTAAGAAGCTTTGATGTCGTGCCCCCTGGCTGGGAGACCAGGCATACTGTCCCTAGTTCCCACGGGTCCGCAGTAGGACCTTATCCATTTTTCACTGTAGCAGTTCATGGCCCTCACTGGCTGCCTTTCCTCATCTCCTTCCCATCGCTCTACTGCACTGCCTGAAATGGCTCCCCACTGGATGTTTCTCAGGGTTAGCTTCAAGGGAACACAACAGGCACATTCATATACATATGCAGGTATATGCATCCCATGTTGACACATTTGCATATACACAAACCTGCACCCAGGCCCAGCCATGCCTCAAGCAGAGGGTTTGCAGCGCAGGAATGCTCAGCAGACAAGGAGGAGGTGTGAAGACTCTCACCCAGCTCTGCCCACCCTGAGGCATCATTCCTTCTCTAGGCTGGTGGCTCCAGGGCCCGCTCCTACCTAACTGGGCAGGCTACCTCACAGCCCAGACAACACCCACTTCCTTCCGTCTTCCAGTATGCTGCTCCAGGCCTTGAGAAGAAGGAAAAGGAGACAAGCGGCTTCCTGTGTCCTCGGCTCTCTTCCTTCCGTTTTTCCTTTCATTCATTCATTCTTTCTTTCTCTCTTTCTTTCTGAGACAGGGTTGCTCTGTGTAGTCTTGGCTGTCCTGGACTCACTTTGTAGACCAGACTGTCCTCAAACTCTCAGAGATCCTCCTGCCTCTGCCTCCCCCAGTGCTGAGATTACAGGCGTGTGCTACCGCCTGTAATCTCCATGTGTCTCTCAGGCGGTCTCATATGGGCAAATAGCATCTTACCTAGTTTGGTTTACTATTTTCAAACCTAGTCTGTGGGTTGTCCCTCCAACCTCCCCCTCCCCATCCTCCTCACATCCTTTTCACTTCCATTCCTAACCTCAGATACAAATTCAGGCTCTACCAAAGATAAGGATTCTGGGGGGTTTCTGCTCCCCCTGCTAGGAAGTGCCTGCTCCGTGGAGCCTGGGCTTGTCCTAGAGTCCTTGGAACACAGGCAACCACGCTCCCCCATTCTGGCTGAGGCCTGCCTCTGGCATGCCTGGGGCACTTTAGCCCTCCCGCTTCCCACCTCTGCTTGTGCCTCCTGCCCAAGGCCCAGGGCTGTCGGTTCCTCCCCTTCAGGCTGGTTCCTCTGGCTGGCAGAGAGACTGGGGGCTGGGGCTGGGGTTGTCCCCTGAGTAAAGGTGCCTGTGATGAGCTGCGGTGCCAGCACATCTGTGCAAATATTACCAATTATTTTCCTCACTATAAACACCCAGCAGGAAGGCAGGGAAGCAACCAACCCAAACTGTTTAAAATAGAAACTGAAATTGCTGCACAGGGAAGACTGGGCAGGCAGAGCAGTGCCTCATCCACTCCACCCCGCCCCACCCCACCCCCGAACCAAGAATTCAGGGTCCTCCTCACTTACTTTGCACCCACCCCACCCTTCTTCAACCTTCTGCTTCCGTCTCAAGGTTTGTTTTCTGAGGGCTACCAAGGATGATGAGAAGTCTTTGCTTAATGGGGAGGGGGAAAGCCTGCACAAAGATGCCGTGAGGGCGCCCTCTCCCCACCCCCAACACCCCCCAGGCAGTGACTAAGGCCGCCTGGCCTGTGATTGGCAGCTGCTAAGCAAGCTCCTGCCTTAAATTAAGCCATAGAGCCAAGGGTGCCATGAGGAAATGGGGGGGGGGGAGTGCACTTTCATTACTCTCTTGCCCTGGCAAGACATTCAAGACATTCCCTCATGGCCCCAGGAAGGACAGGAGGATGAGGGACTGACCAAGTAAGGACAACAGACCTCCTCTTACCCTAGAACACAAGAGTCAGCAAATAGCACACTAGCTTCCTTACCCAAATGTATATATAGGCTCATGCCTGAGCTGCCCTGATGGTTAAATAGTTGCCTGTCCCTGGCCATGAAGGCATCCATCTGTCTGTGTGCTCACAGCCTCTCCCCTCCCTGAGGCAGTTACCCCAGGAGGGAGCTGGAGGAAATCCACCATCTCCACATGCCAAGCATGCTTGCTGATCTTTAAAGATCTCAGCTCCTGTCACAGACTGGACAGTCCTGAACCCTACTCCAACGGTGTGGCCAAGAAGTGTGCTGCAGCAAGGCGATAAACAAGTCTTCCAGGGCACGAATCTAGGAAGGCCTCGGAAGGAAGGATTCTGTAAGCATCTGATCGGGCAGCGGATCGGGCCGAGAGAGAAGCAGCAGAAACCCAGAAAAGATGGGTTACCCAGTGTTACACAGCGGTTGTGAGCTAACCTTTGACCTCACTTCCCAGGCCCTGGCTCTGCTGATCTGAGCTGGTGATTTTAGCCTTCCTGGAGGCAAAGAGAACCCAGGGCCACCTGCTGCCACCTTCCTGCCCTTTTACAGGCTCAGCCCGGTTCCTGGGTATCTCCAGTTCAAAGGCTTCCTCAGCCCTCCCTTCCCTAGGGCTGATACCCTAGCCCTTGCTATTTTTGGTGGCAAGGCCCAGGGTGGGTAAGAGGGTGACAACCTTGCTTCATCCTGCCCCCAGGGGTTCTCACATCTTCTCTTGCACAGGGGGAGGAACTACTCTGGGCAGAGGAGTCCCCACAGGGAGACTCAGATGTTCTGAACAAAAATAAAAGGCGTTCATGCAGCTCATTTGAATTTCCAACATTCCAGCCTCTGCTCTGTCCCTTGAACTCTCTCTCTCTCTCTCTCTCTCTCTCTCTCTCAGCTGGCTTCAGAGCCGGTTCCACCTCTGCAAGGAAATGGCAGAAACTCCCAGAAAGCAGGGTCTCCTCAGAAGCACCCCAGAAGGAGACAAGGGGACCATGAGCTTGTTTGCACCACAGTAAAGCGGGTGCAGGTACATGGACAGGGCATCCTGAGTACACAAAGGACCCTCCAACAAACTCTACCACAGAGGGGGCTGTTCCTGTCCCCATCTAACAGACAGGAAGACTGAGGTTAGCAAAGGCTATATCATAGTAAAAGGAAGCACAGGCCCTGGGAGCCTACGACTGCAGTCAGCCACTGCCCACATCCTGTCTGAAGCCAATTTCCAGCCACTTCTACTCACAGCCAGATCCCTAAACACTTCTCTTCAGACGTGGGCAGGGACACAGAATAATGGCAGCCAGAGATCACAGCTTCCTAGAGAGAGACTCCCCAGGCTCAAGTCGAGTGCCCTCTGGGCAAGCTGTTCCTTGAGTTTTCCCATCTGCAAAAACAGGGGTCCCGGTGGTGTTTGCGACGGCAGGGATGGCCGGCTGTGTGGCAGGTCGTGAATGAATGCCCACACAGCTCCTGCAGAAGCACCAAGTGCTGTGCTGGATGGGACGCATGCTTGTGTTCCCAGCACACTGGAAGCTAGTACAGGAGGAGGCCAGGCTGCAAGCTGGAGGCCAGGCTGTCTACACACGAGTTCCAGGACAATCTGAGTTGCAAACCGACACCTTGTCTCAAAACAAAATAAGATAAAGGGGTCCGCTGTGTGTGTGTGGGGGGGGGGGGAGTTAAGTAAATGCTGTATGGAATTTCTCAACTTTTTTTTTCTTTAGGGATGAGGGATGTAGTGAGGTTGTCAGAGTGCCTGTGTGGCATGGGCTCCATTCCAGGGACCACATGAACTGGGTAGGGGGACACATGCCTAGAGTCTCAGCGCTCAATGGTTGAGACAAGAGGACCTGAAGTTCAAGATTATCCTTAGCTACATACGTAACTAGCAAGTTTGAGGCCAGTCTGGACTACGTGAAACCTTTATCTCAGAAATAATTAATTATTAGTTAATTAATTAAATTCAAAGAGCCACTCCTCCCCACCCCCCATCCCTAAATGGCTTCCAGCCTTTCCCATCCCATCCCTTCCATAGCCAGAGACGCTAAACTCTAGCTCTAGCTGCCCAGATCCCTGCTGAATCCTGGTCAGGTCCCTCTGGCCACAAACTGAA